ATGGTGTTGAATGCTGAGCTATAGTCAATGAACAGCATTCTTACATAGGTATTCCTCTTGTCCAGATGGGATAGGGCAGTGTGCAGTGTAATGGTGATTGCATCATCTGTGGATCTATTGGGGCGGTAAGCAAATTGAAGTGGGTCTAGGGTGGCAGGTAAGGTAGAGGTGAGATATGATCCTTGACTAGTCTCTCAAAGCACTTCATGATGACAGAAGTGAGAGCTACGGGGCGATAGTCATTTAGTTCAGTTACCTTTGCTTCCTTGGGTACAGGGACAATGGTGGCCATCTTGAAGCATGTGGGGACAGCAGACTGGGATAGGGAGAGATTGAATATGTCCGTAAACACACCAGCTAGCTGGTCTGCGCATGCTCTGAGGACATGGCTAGGGATGCCATCTGGGCCGGCAGCCTTGCGAGGGTTAACACGCTTAAATGTGTTACTCACGTCAGCCACGGAGAAGGAGAGCCCATAGTCCTTGGTAGCGGGCCGCGTCGGTGGCACTGTATTATCCTCAAAGCGGGTGAAGAAAGTGTTTAGCTTGTTCGGAAGCAAGACGTTGGTGTCCGTGACGTGGCTGGTTTTCCTTTTGAAGTCTGTGATTGTCTTTAGACCCTGCCACATACGTCTCGTGTCTGAGCCGTTGAACTGCGACTCCACTTTGCCCCTATACTGACGTTTTGCCGGTTTGATTGCCTTGCGGATGGAATAACTACACTGTTTGTATTCTGCCATATTCCCAGTCACCTTGCCATGATTAAATGCGGTGGTTGGCGCTTTCAGTTTTGCGCTAATGCTGCCATCTATCCACAGTTTCTGGTTAAGGTAGGTTTTAATAGTCACAGTGGGTACAACATCTCCTATACTTCCTGATAAACTCAGTCACTGTATCAGTATATGCGTCAATATTATTCTCTGAAGCTACCCGGAACATATCCCAGTCCGCGTGATCAAAGCAATCTTGAAGCGTGGATTCCGATTGGTCAGACCAGCGTTGGATAGTCCTTAGCACGGGTACTTCCTGTTTGAGTTTTCTTCCTATAGGAATGGAGAAGCAAAATGGAGTCGTGGTCAGATTTGCCGAACGGAGGGTGGGGGGAGGGCCTTGTAGGCATCCCGGAAGTTGGAGTAGTGGTGGTCGAGTGTTTTAGCAGCGCGAGTACTACAGTCGATGTGTTGATAGAACTTCGGCAGCCTTTTCATCAAATTTGCTTTGTTACAATCCCCAGCTACAGTAAATGCAGCCTCAGGATATGTGGTTTCCAGGTTTGCATAAAGTCAAGTGAAGTTTTTTGAGGGCCGTCGTGGTATCGGCTTGAGGGGGGATATACATGGCCGTGACTATAACCAAAGAAAATGATCTTGGGCGATAATACGGTCTGCATTTGATTGTGAGGTATTCTAGGTCGGGTGAACAAAAGGTCTTGAGTTCCTGTATGTTATCACAATTACACCGTGAGTCGTTAATCATAAAACATACACCTCCGGCTTTCTGCTTCCCAGAGAGATATTTATTCCTGTCTGCGCAATGAACTGAGAACCCAACTGGTTGGACGGACTCGGACAGGATATCCAGAGAGAGCCATGTTTCCGTGAAACAGAGTATGTTACAATCCCTGATGTGTCTCTGGAAAGAAACCCTCGCCCTGAGCTCGTCAACTTTATTATCCAGAGACTGAACATTAGCGAGTAATATACTCGGAAGCGGTGGGTGTTGTGCACGCCCCCTAAGTCGGACTAGAAGACCTCTACGAGTACCTCTCCTCCAAGTCAACAAGAGACAACTCGTTTTCATGCACATTTTTTCAATGAGAAATACTGCACCAAACATCTTAGTTAGATGTAAAATTGCGCGACTAAGATCTCCTCTGCAAAAAAGTCAAAATTAATGACAGATTTCTTGAGTTATATTAGATTAATTCTGACTATTTTGAGAAAAGTATACTGGCTAAAAATGGACAAACAGTTCTATTGCATCTTTTTTTTGGTAAAAAGTATTTTAAGGGAGTATGCGAGCATGCTCGGTTCGCTTAGCCGACTTCGGCTAGGTGCCAGCCGAACTGATGCATGTTGATGCCTTAAGGGGACACCATAAGGTTGAAGCTGTGGAGGGTTTTTGAAGACGGGCCATGGAGGGGCTCTGTGGAGAGCGTAAACTCTGTCGGAGGGGTCTCTGTGGAGATTGTAAAACCTCTGTCAGAGAGGTCTCTGTGGAAAGGGTAAACTCTGTCGGAGGCATCTCTGTGGAGAGGGTAAACCCTGTCGGAGGGGTCTCTGTGGAGATTGTATGACCTCTGGGGCTTTGTCTCATTAGAAATTCAGTGTAGCTCGGAATGTTTTTCTCTGAGCTCACGGTCTTAACATGCCACCTGGTCTGGTCTGCTGGCAAATGCTACTCCCAGCTTAGGAGCTCAAGTAAAAGCCTACTGTCAGGGAGGTATGCCATGGCAAGGGCAGAGCCCTGGGTACTGGTCTCATCTAATCAACTCTCTCTCGCTCTCTCTTTCTCTCTCTCTCTGATCTCTCGCTCTCTCTTTCTCTGATCTCTCCTCTCTCTATTTCTTTCTGTCTCTTTCTCTCTCTCTCGCTCTCTCTCTCCTCCTCTCTCTCCTCTCTTTCTCTCACTTTCTCTCTCTTTCTCTATTTCGCTCTCTTTCTCAATCTATCTATCTATCTATCTATCTATCTATATATCTATCTCTCTCTTTTTCTCTTTCTGTCTCTCGTTCTGTCTCTCTCTGTCTGTCTCTCTCTCACTGTCCCCCTCTCTCTCTCTATCTCTTCTCCCCAGGGGCTGCACGGATGTGTTGTGCTGTGTTATCTTCGTCATCGTCATCCTCGGCTACATCGCTCTGGGCACCGTGGGTGAGTTGTCATGTTGCTGCCTATTTCATCAGACAGGTTTCATAACAACACAGCCCGACCTATGGTGATGCTCCAGGTATGTGTGAGTCCCAGTGTCCCACACACATCCCCTTCCCTCTGTTCTACCTAAAAGAAGGATGTGGTCTAAGACCGTGTTTCCCAACCCTGGTCCTCCAGTACACCCAACAGTACACTATTTCATTGTAGCCCTGGACAAGCACACCTGATTCAACTTGTCAACTAATCATCAATCCCTCAATGAGTTGAATGAGGTGTGTTTGTCCAGGGCTACAATGAAAATGTGTACTGTTGGGGGTACTCGTGTACCAGGGTTGGCAAACACTGATCTAAGCAGATGGAGTGAGGAAAGTTGGTGTGTGTGAGTTCATCTGTGCTCATGTTAGTTAGTTAGTGAGTTTCTGCGTGCCTAGCTCTCATCTAGACAAAGTCTTTGTGTTCCATATATTCCATTGACTGTGTTGCCGTATCGATGCTAGTGTTGTATTTGATCCCATTTTGCATTGAACAACAGAGCCTCTGATTGTGTAGTGTGTGGGAGGTAGAAATATGAGCGCCTGCATTTCCCCAGAGACAGACCCATTCCTTAATGAGTGGGAGTTGGTAACATCAGAGTCTGTTTGGACGTGAGGCTCTTTCTGTTTTCTGAGGTTACTCTATGGCATCTCCCTAATCTGTGCTTCTAATCTCCTGATTGGAGGTTCGTGCATGTTCTCTAGAGATATGGGTGACGTCCTCTGGCCTCCATGCCTTTTTAAGGCATTTAGTTAGAGCAAGTAAACACAGAGTGTGTTCCTCTCAGTAGATTGGAATCAATCATGCGAATCTCCTCACACACACACCTCAGTCTGTACATACACACACACACACACCTCTACACACACACCTCTACACACACACACACACACCTCTACACACACACACACACACCCTGAGTGAGTCAAATGAAATCAACGGTGATGTCTTCTCTCAAAGTGGAGTCCCTCTCAGACTCCCATTGGCAGTGGAGTCACGTCCGAGTCTGGGCAGAGGAAGGACTCTGTCTGTTGCCCAATTACTTTAAGAGGGCCAGAGCCATGAAAATGGAGGTGACTTCAAATAGACACTGGCATGTCAGCAATTATGTGAATAGCTTTTCATTCTTTCTCCTCCCCTGTGCTCTTCCTCATGCATAACTTCTGTTTCTCATCATCCCGGCTGTGTAAGGCAGGCTAGAAAATAATGTTATTGTCCTCCAAGTTAATTATTTGCTGTTTATGTTTTGAACAGGTTAGAAAAACCTAATGAACACAGAGGATTGCATCGTGAATTGTAGCCTCAAAAGATGCAGACTGGTGGAGAAAGAGTGTTGGAATGATTGGATTACCTTGGCCTTGGTTTTGTTAGTGCTTTTCACTCGTATTATCTCTCTGTATTCTCTAAGCATCTCACACAGACTTTTTCGGTTGTCCTGTAATGGCTGAACAGCCAGCTCTCAGCTTGACACACTAATCTGTTCATATCTGGCTTCTCTGATTGTGATTCATAACATGGATCCCATTTGACCTGCTTCTATACTGATGTAGCTGTGGGCTGAAATTATTATGGTAGTGAATCAAAACAATCCCATAAAGCCCTTTTTACATCAGCAGTTGTCACAAAGTGCTTATACAGAAACCTAAAACCCCAAAGAGCAAGCAATGCAGATGTAGAAGCACGGTGGCTAGGAAAAACTCCCATGAAAGGCAGAAACCTAGAGAGGAACCAGGCTCTGAGGGATGGCCAGTCCTCTTCTGGCTGTGCCAGGTGGAGATTATAAGAGTACATGGCCATTAAGGCCAGATCGTTCTTCAAGATGTTCAAAAGTTTATAGATGACCAGTAGGGTGAAATAATAATCACAGTGGTTATAGAGGGTGCAAAAGGTCAGCACCTCAGGAGTAAATGTCAGTTGGCCTTTCATAGCCGAGCATTCAGAGGTCGAGACAGCATGTGCGTGTACATTACAGACCGTCAGAATATTTCAATAGATACACAGTCAGGCAGATCCTATCACTCATTCATGTCCAGAGTGATTGACATATGACAGGGCTGTGAATGAGGCTAATGATGTGGCCGTCTGTCTGGTTGCAGCTTGGATCCATGGCGACCCCAGGAAGGTGGTCTACCCCACCGACAGCCACGGACAGTTCTGTGGACAGCAGGGGACCCCCAACACGTAAGTAGAAAGAAAGACCACTATCTGTGTTTGGAAAAAAATGTATTGTATCTACTATGGATAGGTATAGTACTATATGGCTAGCATTCGCATTGCACTTTGGACAGGTGTGGCTTCACATTAATATCATCAAAAAATGTCTGCACTTGGAAGAGATTGTATGCAGCCTGGGAGGTGTGTCAGCTTAAACACCTCCAATACAGCAGGAACAACGTGCAAAAAATCATACTGCTGAGAAACTGCTTTTCTCTACGATTAATATCCGGCTTCAGTATATGTCAGTTGTATTAGTCTGTAATATTTTTAAAATAGTTTATTTTAAGCTACCCTTCTAGGTACAGCAGGGCTCTCCAACCCTGTTCCTGGAGAGCTACCGTCCTGTAGGTTTTCACTCCAACCCTAATCTAGCACACATGATTCTAATAATTATCAGGTTGAGAAGGTGAATCAGGTTAGTTACAACTGGGGTTAGAGCGAAAACCTGCGGGAGGGTAGCTCTCCAGGAACAGGGTTGGAGAGCCCTGGTGTAAACCTACAGGAAGGTAGCTCTCCAGGAACAGGGTTGGAGCGAAAACCTGCAAGAGGGTGTGGCTCCCGTGTGGCTCAGTTGGTAGAGCATGGCGCTTGCAACACCAGGGTTGTGGGTTCGATTCCCATGGGGGACCAGTACGAAAAATAAGTACAAAAATGTATTCACTCACGGCTGTAAATCGCTCTGGATAAGAGTGTCTGCTAAATGACTAAAATGTGAAAAATGTAAAGGAGGGTAGCTCTCCAGGAACAGGGTTGGAGCAAAAACCTGCAGGAGGGTAGCTCTCTAGGAACAGGGTTGGAGAGCTCTGCTTTACAGTAATCCCCCTTTTGTTTATATAGGGCTTTGCTCGGCATGTATGAAAAGTGCTTTATAAAGTAGCATTAACCACCACCACAAGGCTTCCCTGTACCCTGTGTGTTTACACTGTGGGATAATAGCCTCTGTTTGACAGGCAGCTCAATCTGCCATTAGTTTCAAGACAACATTTGTTCTCAGCGTTTTCTAATAAAACTGTTATTTTCTATGTGTTGGGAAAACTAATGACTATTCTCTCCATGTCGCTGTGGTTACAGCAACAAAGCCATATTATTATACTTCAACATATTGCAATGTGCCAATCCTGCCGTTCTTATTAACCTCCAGTGCCCTACAACCCAGGTAAGAGCTGCCTCTTTACGCGTCACACATTATGCTCTTATGTCCCCGCTCATTTTGTCTCGCTTGATTATACAAGGTCAGTGTTCTCTGTTGTTAAGCGTTGATGAATGTTTGGCTCTACCTCTGTTTTCCCAGCTCTGTGTCTCCAAGTGCCCAGACAGATTCGCCACATACCTAGACATGCAGTACAACTACAGGTACAACAACAGCTACTGGGAGTATTACAGGCAGTTCTGCAAGCCGGGCTTCGACAATCCTAGAAAGGTACCGAGACCTGATGCCTCCAGTCCCTTATGGCTTCACTTATCAAGTCCTTGAGTGTTCTGAACTGATGTAATCTGTAGTGGTTATCCATCTATAAGTCAGTAGCGACCAAGACTCTTCCTCTTCCGGAATGGCAATGTTATTGGAATCAGTTAGTCATTTAGTTGCTGCAATTGGAATATATCTTGTTGTACAGTAATGATATGGAAAAACACATGCCATGATATTGCTTTATAAGTACGAGAGAGAGAGAGAGAGAGAGAGAGAGAGAGAGAGAGAAGAGAGAGAGAGAGAGAGAGAGATAGAGAGAGAGAGAGAGAGAGCAAGATAGAGATAGAGAGAGCGAGAGAGAGAGAGTAGATTCTAGAGAGAATCGCAATAATAGCTCGCCTCTTCTCGCTCTCTCACTCCTCTCTCTCCTTCGCTCTCTTCTCTCTGCTCTCTCTCTCGCCTCCCTCGTATCTCTCTCTTCTCTCTCTCTCCGCCTCCCTCGCTTACCCTACTCCCCCCACTACCAAATGACTCAGGAAGGGTTCCCTACCAGTCTGTAATGTATGACAGTCTTCTGTTATGTACCTATTCAACTCAGCCAAACGCCCACTCTCCTCATGCTCCTTTTGGATAATGGCAAACTCATAGGATGTCTTACCAGTCATCCTAACCTATGAGTTGGTATAAAAACTAAACTCTGAGGATTTGACGTCACTGAATGTGCATTGTTTGACGTCTTCTTCCTCTCTTGTCTCCCTTTAGTCAGTTGCACACGTGTTGAGAGATGAAGACTGCCCATCTATGATAGTGCCAAGCAGACCTTGTAAGTTAATCCAGGTTCTACACATAGCTCCTTCACTATGGTTATGATGACCTAAGATTCAGACTGTCTATTCTAAGACAAGATTCTGTGGGAGGGGAGCGTTATGTGTCAGGGGTTGGGAAAGGGAAAGCGATACATATCAACAGTGTATGACATTTAAACATTATTCTTAGCCATTAAATATTTCTTTGTGTGTTTCAGTCCTTCAGAGGTGCTTCCCTGACTTCATCACCAGGAACGGGACGCTAACTGTCGCCAACAAGACAGACTTCAAAGACGGGTTAGGTAAAACGAGGAGCGTGATCGATCTCAGGGACGCTGCCAAGTAAGTCCTGCTCTGCTCAACGTCCCTTTGTTGTAGTCGAAATGTTGTCGAGGCTGTTTGGTGGAAAAACACACCACTGGATTATGTGGATTTTAGAATATTCACATGAACATCTGTCGCCAATTGGATGGAAACCTAGCTATTGCCATCTATTTATTGTGTCTATTTATGGACTGGTAGGCTACCATACAAATTAAATCAGGCTTACTGCCAATGTAATTCATAGCCAATTGAATTCAAGTAAACCAAGACTGCAACAAAATTAACATATTTAGCTACTTTCTGTTTATTAATTATATATCCAGTGCATTCGGAAAGTATTCAGACCCCTTGACTTTTTCCACATTTTGTTACGTTACAGCCTTATTCTAAAATGGATTAAACTGTTTTTTGTCCCTCATCAATCTACACACAATACCCCATAATGACAAAGCAAAAACAGGTTTTTAGAGTTTTTTGCAAATGTCAAAAAATAAAATAAATGATATCACATTTACATAAATATTCAGACCCTTTACTCAGTACTTTGTTGAAGCACCTTTGGCAGCGATTACAGCCTTGAGTCTTCTTGGGTATGACACTACAAACTTGGCACACCTGTATTTAGGGAGTTTCTCCCATTCTTCTTTGTCCAATCAATTGAATTTACTACAGGTGGACTACAATCAAGTTGTAGAAACATCTCAAAGATGATCAATGGGAACAGGATGCACCTGAGCTCAATTTCGAGTCTCATAGCAAAGTGTCTGAATACTTATGTAAATAAGGTATTTCTGTTTTTTATTTTTAATACATTTGCTAAAATTTCTAAAAACCTGTTTTCACTTTGTCATTATGGGTTATTGTGTGTAGATTGATGAGGAAAATAAATAATGTAATCTGTTTTAGAATAAGGATGTAACGTAACAAAATGTGGAAATAGTCAAGGGGTCTGAATACTTTCCGAAGGCATATATAACAGGACAATTAGAAATGCCAGATGGGTTCATTTATTTTACTTGATCACTATTAAATCAGAATAATTAGAGACTGCTCTTCTCGACCATTGATGGCCTGTTAATCCTACCCCCGCAAAACTACAGTATGTGAACTTTCCTCCACATCTAAATGTGATGAGTTTGCGGAATATTTCAGAACATTAGGCTGGGTATCAGTCAAGCAAGACCTGATGAGAAGTTTGATATGTGCCTTAGCCTACTACGCAAAGGCACTATGGATTTATTTTCCCTGGTTGACACAGACATGCTCAGGAAAGTGATATCACAATTTAAGCCCTCTTGATCCTATCCCCACCACCTTCTACAAAACAGTTTTTAATTGCATATCTGAAGAAGTGCAGGCTATTGTTAATCACTCCCTGTTTACAGGCACTTTCCCCACTGCACTAAAAACTGCTATTGTGAAACCCCTTCTGAAGAAAGGTAATCTAGATTCTTCAGCTTTTAGCAATTTTCGGCCAATCTCCAACCTTACTTTATTAAGCAAAATTCTGGAGAAATTGGTGTTCAAACAGCTAAAATATTTTTTTAGTGCCAACTGTATATTAGAAAAATTCCAATCTGGTTTTCGTGCCCACCACAGCACAGAGACAGCCTTAGTTAACGTGGTAAATGATCTTAGAGCCAACACAGATGCCAAGCAGCTCTCTGTCCTTGTACTCTTAGATTTTAACATTTACATTACATTACATTTACGTCATTTAGCAGACGCTCTTATCCAGAGCGACTTACAAATTGGTGCATTAACCTTATGATAGCCAGTGGGACAACCATTTTAAAAAATTTTTAAAATATATTTTTATACTTTAAAAAAAAAAAATTACAGTATATTTTTAATTTTCATTTGTTTTATATATATATATATATATATATATTTTTTTTTTAAAAGTTCTGCATTCAACACTGTTGACCATGATGTCCTTCTGGACAGACTGGAGAGGTGGGTTGGCCTCTCCGGTCCAGTTCTAAATTGGTTTAGGACCTGTTTAACCTGTCAATAGTTTTTTGTCATCATTGGTGAACATAACTCAGAGAAAATACAGTGAGGGAAAAAAGTATTTGATCCCCTGCTGATTTTGTACGTTTGCCCACTGACAAAGAAATGATCAGTCTATCATTTTAATGGTAGGTTTATTTGAACAGTGAGAGACAGAATAACAACAAAAAAATTCAGAAAAACACATGTCAAAAATGTTATAAATTGATTTGCATATTAATTAGGGAAATAAGTATTGCACTGGCTGCCTGTGAGTTTAATAATTACTTTTAAGATTCTTCTATTGGTTTTTAAATCAATCCACAATTGTGCACCCCAATACATGTCAGACATGCTTTTAAGTTATGTACCCAGTAAGTCCCTCAGGTCCTCTGGCACTGTCCTTTTAACTATCCCAAAGCCTAGGACCAAGAGGCATGGAGAGGCAGCCTTTAGTTACTATGCCCCCAGCCTGTGGAATAGCCTGCCAGAGAACCTGAGGGGGGCCGAAACTGTGGATATATTTAAAATAGTTTAAAACACTTAAAACAATATTTTTAGCTTTGCATTTCCTCAGGGTACTTTTTAGTTGTTCAGTTTGTGTCATTATTTTGTCTTTTAACTTATGTTTGTTGTGTAGTAAATATTTCAGCTTTTATTTTCATTGTTTTTTCATTGTTTTTTTCTGTAAATCACATTGCGTTGCATTCCATGTCTGAAATGTGCTGTATATATAAAGCTTGATTTGATTTGATAGTTGGAATTTCTGTCCAAGTAAGTCCTGCTCTCCTCAACGTCCCTTTGTTGTCGTGGAAATCCTGTCGAGGCCGAGGGAGACTGTTGTGTAAGTGCAAGACCTATTACGGGTGGTGGTATCACATGGTTGAATATTTTTGACCAGCAGACCCGAAAGATTAACGCTGCACAAATCTGTTCACTGAGGCATCATTGATGTTTTGGATCACATTCCAATGATAAAACTGGGGGGACAAGAATGTGTCCCACCAGTCCACAGTGAAAGTTGCGCCCCTGATTGAAACTATTATATTGTCATAGGGATTCCACCCTTGAACCCAGAGTCAACTGGACAGCTATTGTAGGGTAGGAAAACTGGGCGATGAGACTCATGCCCAGTAGCGTGTGGAGTGTGGATCATTCATGCACATTGAAAGCCATCTATGCATGTCTGCATGAAAATACAACGTATGCTGTAGCTTCAGAGTACTACAGTTAAGTGACTTTCTTCATGCTTATGCATGTCAGTCTATAAAACGTTCAATACGTTTGGATTAACTGGTGGGACTGATTTAGAGGAGCAATTAAGACAGATGCAGGGTCTTGATAGTTCTGTGTCAATGAGTTGCCATCATTAGTGCATCAAATTCCATGGTTGCAGTGATTTAATCCCGTTTGCCTTTGAAACAAGGAATTGATGACCAGTTTAATGCTTTTCCTTCATTGCCAAGTTATCGCCATGCAGCAAGGAGTGGAAAGGTCTCAAACTAATTACAGTATTTCAACCTTAACCGTGACCTTCTGTAGCCCCAAGTTCACTTTCTGCAAACTAACCTGGGCTCCCGAGTGGCGCAGCGGTCTAAGGCACTGCATCTCAGTGCTTGAGGCGTCACTACAGACCCCCTGGTTCGATTCCAGGCTGTATCACAACCGGCCGTGATTGGGAGTCCCATAGGGCAGCGCACAATTGGCCCAGTGTCACGTCACCCCCTGGCTTTCATCAATGTGTTCCTTCTTTCTTATCATAATGTTTGCAAATATTTCATTTAGTAAAACTGGATAAGAGCACCCTCAGCGTCAGATTAGTGCAGTAATTAGCGTTATTACCACAGTAATTACCACAAGTTATATATAGCTCTTAGGCCTACCTCTGACTTTCATAGACTATCTGAACACAAATGGAGTTTCATAGCTGAAAATGAAGGTGGCACTTATGTCCTTGTCATGAGGTGAAACTGTTTTGAAGACAGTTTCTGACAGTGTGTTCTTTGCTTCTGACAGAGCAGGGATGATGTCCTCTAGCCTATCCCTCCCTCAGAGTCTCTGAACCAGAAATATTTATCTCCGAGCCTGAAGGCACCAGACTCAGTGGCACTTACTTTGTCTGCTGTCCTTCTGCCTTGATATTATGACTGCTCTATTGATATCCTTATTGTTGACTAGTCGTCTAATGTCATCTGCATTGTTTTGACTGGTATGCTATTGTTTTGACTGGTATGCTATTGTTTTGACAGGTGTAATGCTATTATTTTGACAGGTGTAATGCTATTGTTTTGACAGGTGTAATGCTATTGTTTTGACAGGTTTAATGCTATTGTTTTGACAGGTTTAATGTTTTTGTTATGACAGGTGTAATGATATTGTTTTGGCTGGTATGCTGCTGTTATGACAGGTGTAATGCTGTCTTTCATCTCACCCAAACGTTAAACTTTGTATGACCTCAGCCACTGTTGTTAAGGGTGACAGCTCCTCCATTTCCCATTTTAAAAATTACAGCAATTTTAAAGGCCAGTTTTTGTAATCTCTCATCTTTTCGCCTGGTGGTGAACCACTCAGGCATGGCTGGGCTCATCTCACCCTCACATGTGATTTGTCCACCCCAGTGCCTTTCCCATATTTCCCCCTGAATGTCAAGCACTTCAACAAGCTGTCCAAGGACAGAGCATTTCAGGCCAATTACACTTCCTACCACCAAACACTTCAACATAGCATCTATTATTTTGCTTTCGACTGGAGGTTTGGCCAAACTCCATCTGTTAAAGCCAGGTCTGTGGAACGCATTAGACACATTAGCACGGCACTTATGGTTTAATTAGTACTAATGACTGAGATCAGTGACTCCTTTTTCGTAACGACAAAATTACTTAAGTAAATTGTATTATGTGCTATTATAGAGATTTTTATAGAAATATGATGGTCTAGATTAAATGAACGCCTAGAGTGAGCAGATAGAGTGAGCAGACAGAGGTTGGTGCTCGACTCAGAAGGTAATCTGCACAGCTTCAGAGGAAGGTTGGTTCTAGTCTCATGCTACTGCTGTCCACCAGTCCTTTAGAGGCTGATAATCTAGTGAGCAGAAGCATTGGGGAATACAGTGTATTCGGAATGAATTCAGACCCCTAGACTTTTTCCACATTTTATGTTACAGCCTTATTCTAAAATGGATTAAATTGTTGTTGTTTTTTCCCTCATCAATCATCACACAATACCCCATAAAGACAATGCAAAAATTTTTGCTAATTTAATAATAATAAAAATAACATATTCAGACCCTTTACTCAGTACTTTGTTGAAGCACCTTTGGCAGCAATTACAGCCTCGAGTCTTCTTAGGTATGACGCTACAAGCTTGGCACACCTGTATTTGGGGAGTTTCTTCCATTCTTCTCTGCAGACCCTCTCAAGCTCTGTCAGGTTGGATGGGGAGCGTCGCTGCACAGCTAATTTTCAGGTCTCTCCAGAGATGTTTGATCGGGTTAAAGTCCGGGCTTTGGCTGGGCCACTCAATGACATTCAGAGACTGGTCCCTAAGCCACTCCTGCGTTTTCTTGGCTGTGTGCTTAGGGTTGTTGTCCTGTTTGAAGGTGAACCTTCACCCTGACTGAGGTCCTGAGCGCTCTGGAGCAGATTTTCATCAAGGACCTCTCTGTACTTTCCTCCGTTCACCTTTCCCTCCATCCTGACTAGTTTCCCAGTCCCTGCTGCTGAAAAACATATCCACAGCATGATGCTGCCACCACCATGCTTCTCCATAGGGATGGTGCCAGGTTTCCTCCAGACGTGACGCTTGGCATTCAGGCCAAATAGTTCAGTCTTGGTTTCATCAGACCAGAGAATCTTGTTTCTCATGGTCTGAGAGTCCTTTAACTCCAAGTGGGCTGTCATGTGCCTTTTACTGAGGAGTGGCTTCCGTCTGGCCACTCTACAATAAAGGCCTGATTGGTGGAGTGCTGCAGAGATGGTTGTCCTTCTGGAAGGTTCTCCCATCTCCACAGAGGAACTGTGGAGCTCTGTCAGAGTGACCATCGTGTTCTTGGTCACCTCCCTGATCAGGATTCTTCTCCCCCAATTGCTCAGTTTGGCCAGGCGTCCAGCACAGTTTAGAGTATTTTTAATACATTTTCATACATTTCTTTCTATCAAACCTGTTTTCGCTTTGTCATTATGGGGTATTGTGTAGATTGATAAAAAAAAAAAATAAACCACTTCCATTATAGAATAAGGCTGTAACGTGATAACATTTGGAAAAAGTCAAGGGGTCTTAATACTTTCCAAATGCACTGTACCTTGGTTCAGATATCTACTACTTAATTTATGAACAATATAACTTGTGTTTAATGTTGTCAGTTTACCAATGCAATAATGAGGAATCACAAAGCCAGTTACAGTGGGTCTACAGTGGATATCTGATCCAAGTATGTGATTTTTGCTATCACCTCTTTCTCCAGCTTGTACATTGAACCGTTACCATACCCTGCTTGTTCATGTCGTTTTGACAGAAAGAGATGCAAGGAATAATTAATAATCCAGACCCATTTGTATGTCTTTGTCCTGTTCTAATCAGAAGATGCATTGTTGTAGAGTAGTAACCTGCTGCTTCCTAGCACTTTGATAACGCTGATGTTGACTTGTGACATTTTATAAGGGAGGCCTGCCTACAACCTGTACTGTCTCCCAGGGTTGTACAGCCCCCTCATAAGCTGTGTGTACAAGCGAGTCACTGTAACACAACACAGGTCAGTATAGGCCAATGTTTCTCCCTCTCAGTGGACATGTTTCCCCCTCTCTCTCTTTCTCCCTTCATCTCCATCTCTCTCTCTCTTTCTATCTACCTTTTTTTTTTTTACCCACAATTCTCCTTACCCCACTATCTATCCCACTCCCATTCTTCCTCTGTCACAGTGGCATTACCAGTCTGCTAGATGCCAAGGAGGTTGGCATGAAGATCTTTGAGGATTACGCCAGCTCCTGGTACTGGATTTTAATGTAAGACACGCATTTCTGTGCGTCTGTTTGCCTGTGAGGGAGTGCGTGTGTGTGTGCCATATGTGTGTTTTACTGTGGTTTTCACTCTGACATAAAGGTGTGTTTGTGTGTTTCTAGAGGTCTGGTGATAACCATGGTGGTCAGCCTGGCTTTTATCCTGCTGCTACGGTTCACAGCCGGAGTTCTCCTGTGGCTCATCATCTTTGGAGTCATCGCTGTGGTGGGCTATGGTTAGTAATACAATACAATACAGTACACTCTCTGCTGCTACTCTCTGTTTATTATCTATGCATAGTCACTTTACCTCTACCTACATGTACATATTACCTCAATTACCTTGACTAACCTGTGCCCCCGCACATTGACTCTGTACCGGTACCCCCTGTATATAGCCTCACTACTGTTATTTTACTGCTGCTCTTTAATTATTATTATTTTTTTATATATTTTTTTTTTACTGATCTATTTTTTACTTAACACTTATTTTTCTTAAAATCTGCATTGTTGGTTAAGGGCTCGTAAGTAAGCATTTCACTGTAAGGTCTACACCTGTTGTATTCGGCGCATGTGACAAATAACATTCAATTTGATTTGATTTAATCAACAGCAACTTTAGCTTCAGTAAAAGAGCCTAATGCCGTCTTTAGTCTGAGTACAGTACCCACACTCCACCAGCCCATACTGTACTTAAGGTAAACATACCGCTAATGTATATAGATTTGTGGGAGACAGTGTCCACATCTTTTAACATCCAACTGTCACCAACACCTCTGTTGTCATAGCAAACCAAATGTAGCAGATATACAGGAACTGTATCGTAACTTCTCACATCTCTCTCTTTTCTCTCCTCTCTCTCTTCTCTCTCTCTCTGCCTCTCTCTTTCTCTTCTCTCTCTTTCTCTCTCTCTCTATCGCTCTCTCTCTCAGGGATCTGGCACTGCTACTGGGAGTTCAGTACACTGAGAGGGAATCCACACAGTGATGGTGATGTAGCCATCTCTGACATGGGCTTTCAGACGGACTTCAGGGTTTACCTGCAGCTCAGTCAGACCTGGCTCATCTTGAGTGAGTGACCATATCCACTACCCCCTATTAGCTCAGTCAGACCTGGCTCACCTTGAGTGAGTGACCATATCCACTACCCCCTATTAGCTCAGTCAGACCTGGCTCATCTTGAGTGAGTGACCATATCCACTACCCCCTATTAGCTCAGTCAGACCTGGCTCATCTTGAGTGAGTGACCATATCCACTACCCCCTATTAGCTCAGTCAGACCTGGCTCATCTTGAGTGAGTGACCATATCCGCTACCCCCTATTAGCTCAGTCAGACCTGGCTCATCTTGAGTGAGTGACCATATCCACTACCCCCTATTAGCTCAGTCAGACCTGGCTCATCTTGAGTGAGTGACCATATCCGCTACCCCCTATTAGCTCAGTCAGACCTGGCTCACCTTCAGTGAGTGACCATATCCACTACCCCCTATTAGCTCAGTCAGACCTGGCTCATCTTGAGTGAGTGACCATATCCACTACCCCCTATTAGCTCAGTCAGACCTGGCTCACCTTCAGTGAATGACAATTCACTGCCCCCCTATTTAAGCACAGGTGATACCAGCCTAGCGCAAGGCTGCCACAACTCAGTTGGTGCAGAGTCTCTAAGTTGCTAGGGGAAGCAGTTTGGTGCCAGACATGTCTGCTGGTTTTCTTCTTATTTGTCAATCAGCAAAATAATTAGAGCTGGGAAACCATTGGGTTTCCTGTTAACTGTATTTTATTTATTTATTTTATTTAACCTTTACTTTATCAGGGAGTCATACTGAGACCAATATCTATTTTACAGATGAGCCCTGAATTTACATAGAATACACACATCAAAATATAAATACAAAATGAAACCTGATATTGTTTAAATGAATTGGACAAACCCCAGGAGACGCTGTGGCCTGAGAGGATCGATTTTTGTCCACCTCTGCTGTAAAGGAATATAGATGTTTCTACTCAATAGTAATCATTTGTATTGCAGTGATCTCCCTATCAGTGATTGAGGCAGTCATCATAGTAATCCTGATATTCCTGAGGAGGAGAGTATGCATCGCCATCGCTCTGCTGAAGGAGGGGAGCAGGTGAGTGGCAGTCTTCTGTCAGGAGAGTAAGTCTGACCTCTTGTTGTGTCACTTCGAATGAACCCAGCGTCTGTGAGCTCGGTGTTGGAACATGAACCAAACTTTTAACTATTATTTTTTCACACTTTCTCTCCCCTCTCTTTCTCTCTCTTTTCTCCAGGGCCATTGGTTACATCATGTCCACTCTCTTCTACCCGATCATCACTTTTGTGCTGCTGTCCATCTGCATAGCATACTGGGCAGTCGTCGCTGTGTATCCTCTCTATGTTGGTTTTCTCAGCCTCGTCCTCACTGTGTGTGGACACTTTACCCATTGTAGCTACACATGTGAAGCATCCTGAACTGTCATCAATGGCATCATAGAGATAAAGACTGGAATTGAATTGAACCTGATGAAACTGCTGAACCCTTAGTGGAAATCCCAATGTAGATGGCTCATAGGCAGGCACACATTTTGTTACTTATCACTGCTTCCATTCTTCTGTGTTGCCCTTGACTGGTTTTGCCCTCAGCTTCTTAGCGTCATCTGGCGATGCTGTCTACAAGGTCATGTCGACGCAGGACAAATGCATGTATGCCAACCTCACCTGTGATCCAGAGGTTGGCTTTTCTCTCTACTGTCTTCCTCATTGTCACGTTGACGTTATTGCTGTATTGCAAACTCCTAGAATACTGTATGTTATTGGCCTTGAAACCCTGAGTTAGAGCAGCTTAATGAAATTCTGCTCAGTGTGCTTGGCAGCAGTACACATCATACAGCTTTGAATAGCTAGCCAGTGACAACATCTGTGAACTCTGGCTACATTTGGTCTTTCATGACTAATTAAATCTGAAATGGTACCCTATTCCCAATATGGAGAATAGGGTACCATAGTAAACTCTGGCCAGAGGTAATGCACTGTATAGGGAATAGGGTGCCATTTCCTTCTAACCCAATAACTTTCCACTCTCTCTCCCCAGACGTTCAGTCAGACCAACGTGACCACGGTGTGCCCGGGCTCCCAGTGCACCTTTGCCTTCTACGGCGGCGAGAGCCTCTACCACCACTACATCTTTGTGCTGCAGCTGTGCAACCTGCTGGTGTTCCTGTGGCTGGTCAACTTCACCATCGCCCTGGGACAGTGCACCCTGGCTGGGGCCTTCGCTTCCTACTACTGGGCCCTGAAGAAGCCCCAAGATATACCATCATGCCCCCTGTTCTCCTCCTTTAGCAGGGCTGTACGGTAGGCTGACTCAGTCATATGGGGTTTTAACGCATAGGGAAGATGACGATGGTGTTGAGTTGTACACTGAACAAAAATATAAACGTAACATGAAAAGTGTTGGTCCCATGTTTCATGAGCTGAAATAAAAGATCCCAGATATGTTCCATACGCACAAAAAGTGTATTTATCTCGAATTTTGTGCATACATTTGTTTACATCCCTGTTAGTGAGCATTTCTCGTTTGCTAAAATAATCCATCCACCTGACAGGTGTGGCATATCATTAAGCTGATTAAACAGCATGATAAAGCACGATAAAAGGCCACTCTAAAATGTGCAGTTTTGTCACACAACACAATGCCACAGATGTCTCAAGTTTTGAGGGAGCGTATTGGCATGCTGACTGCAGGAATGTCCACCAGAGCTGTTGCCAGAGAATTGAATGTTCATTTCTCTACCTTAAGCTGCCTCCAACGTGAATTTGAATTTGGCAGTACGTCCAACTGGCCTCACAACCGCAGGACCACTGTATGGCGTTTGTTGGGTAGCGGTTTGTTGATGTCACGTTGTGAACAGAGTGCCCCATTTACATTACATTTAGTATTTAGCAGACGCTCTTATCCAGAGCGACTTACAGGAGCAATTAGGGTTAAGTGCCTTGCTCAAGGGCACATCGACAGATTTTCACCTAGTCGCTCGGGGATTAGAACCAGCGACCTTCGTTACTGGCACAGCTCATAACCACTAAGCTACTGCGCCCCATGTGGCGGTGGTGTTAAGTATGGCAGGCATAAGCTACAGACACGAACACAATTGCATTTTATCGGTGCAATTTGAATGCACAGAGATACCGTGACGAGGTCCGAGGCCATTATCGTGCTATTCATCCGCCGCCATCACCTCATGTTTCAGCATGGTTATGCACTGCCCAGTCGCACGATCTGTCAACCATTCCTGGAAGTGAAAATGTCCCAGTTCTTCCATGCCCTGCATACTCACCAGACATGTCACCCATTGAGCATGTTTGGGATGCTCTGGATCGATGTGTACGACAGCGTGTTCCAGTTCCCGCCAATATCCAGCGACTTCACACAGCCATTGAAGTGGTGTAGGATAACATTCCACAGGCCACAATCAACAGCCTGATCAACTCTATGCGAAGGAGATGTGTCGCGCTGCATGAGGCAAATGGTGTTCACACCAAATACTGACTGGATTTCTGATCCACGCCCCTGCCTTTTTTTAAGGTATCTGTGACCAACAGATGCATATCTGTATTCCCAGTCATGTGAAATCCATAGATTAGGGCCTAATTTATTTATTTCAATTGACTGATTTCCTCAGTAAAATCTTTGAAATTGTTGCATATTGCATTTGTATTTTTGTTCAATATAGTTTATAATGGCACATCTTGCTTGGAGAGTAATCATAGTACTGCACTATAAAGCTATTTCAGATTCTCCATTAAGCATGCCTTTAAGTCCAGGACTAGACATAATCTGTGTCCAGGAAACTGGTCCTAAGTGTGTTGTGGTGTTTACACCAATGATGGGAAGGGGGAAGTGTGTGTGTGTGTATAGTGGATGTATAAGCTATATTTTTAATTGGTAATACAGTGTATTATGTATCTCCCAGGTACCACACAGGCTCTCTGGCGTTTGGCTCTCTGATCCTGGCCTTAGTGCAGATGTTCCGCATCGTTCTAGAGTATCTGGATCACAAACTCAAAGGTGGGTTTTCTGCTCGTACTAAACCCACTGGCTTTTATATGTTTATGTACAGTACTGTATATTTATATGCCATCTTTTCATGAAGATGATCATCATGTATTTTCAGGTGCTCACAATGCTTTTGCCCGCTTCCTGATTTGCTGTCTCAAATGCTGCTTCTGGTGCCTGGAACATTTCATCAAGTTCATGAACAGGAATGCCTACATCATGGTGAGTCTGGGTAGTTTCAGTCAAAATATCTTTCAAAACCATCCATCCAGTACCTTTGAGTCATTTCAGTAGTTAGCACACCGATTACTGTTGTGATCAGGCTATTTGATAACCATCTCACAGAAAGTGTTGGAATCGTGAATAACATGGTCTTACTTTTTGAATTTCTCACCCTAGATTGCGATATATGGAAAGAGCTTCTGCACTTCGGCCAAGGATGCTTTCTTCCTGCTGATGAGGAACGTAGTAAGGTAAGGCAAAGTCTTTGTATCGGATCGTTTGATTGTCTGTCCCTCAGACAGTTTTTGTGTCTGTCTGTCTGTCTGACTGTCTGTCATGGGTGGTGACTGTTTCTCTCTGGGCCTCTGGGCTTCTCCTCCAATGAGTTGTCTCCTCTGTAGGGTGGCAGTGCTGGATAAGGTGACAGACTTTCTGCTCCTCTTGGGAAAAGTGCTTATTTCAGGGAGTGTTGGTGAGTTCCCTTTCCCACACACTGGTGATAACCCTGTTGTATGTTTAACTACGAGGGCTGAAGTTAAAATTACTCAATGCATTAACAAGACTAAACAAACAACACAAACACGGGAAAATAGTCCTCCAGAACCCTCGACAGATGCGTTCTCTATAAAGACAATGTCCATAGATACTATGTTACACCAATTGTACATTTGTCAGTGTATGCTCAAGTTGTTATTTTGTTATTAAGGTGTCTGATTTTTTTCCCCCAGGTGTTCTAGCATTCTTCTTCTTCACCCGTAAGATTCCATTTATTCAAGAGGAGGTGCCATCACTAAATTACTACTGGGTCCCCCTACTGGTAAGAAATAGACTTACATCATATGAGTCAGCATTGCTTGTTAATAAATGCGCCCACCTACGTAGGTTCTGTTTGCTTCTAGCTGAGTTCGGCTAGGCAAAGCGACATCTGTGCTCTCATACTCCATAAAGACTTTTGCTTGAAAAACTTGAAAAAAACTGCAATATTACTATTGTTCGTCCCTTGTTGAGCCACCGTAGCAACAACATAGCCATATTTACTTCCTCAAAATAGTCTGAATTAATCTAAGATAAATCAAGAAATCTGTCATACATTTTTTTGTTTTTGCCGAGGAGGTCTTAGTCGCACAATTGTACATCTAGCTAAGATGTTTGGTGCAGTATTTCTGAAGTGAAAAAATGTGCAGGAAAACTAGTCATCTCTCGTTGAATGACAACAAACACTTCATGTTCCCACTCCTACTAGGAGTAGTACTATTGACTATTGACCAATCAACTTAACTTCGACTTGCCTCAAGAAAAAATGTGTGCACGAACAGCTGAAAAAAAAAACGTACCGAAGACCAAAAAGATAAAAAACGTCATGAAATGTAGTGATAATATATGCGCAAACTGTTTCGACTGGGAAGCCTATGGTAAGCTTTAGTGTGCTTACTGACTTGGACTCTTCTGTCATTGTCAGACGGTGATATTTGGATCCTACCTGATCGCCCATGGCTTCTTCAACGTCTATGCTATGTGTGTGGACACCTTATTCCTTTGTTTCTGTAAGTACACCATTCATCTCTTTAAATACAGCCCAGGCTGGGGTGTGAGGGTGTTTATATGATACACAGTGAGTACACTACAGGGTTTGTGTTGGAACTGACAGCAGCTTTGTGAGCGAATTAAATGGTTTTCCATTATTTCATCATGTGACTCTCTATTATATAATTAGCTATGTATGTTTTTTTGTGCATAAGACAGAAAAAGGTTATTGCGCTGGGTGATTATTTATTTTTTACACTACTGTCATTGTTTTGCTAATTAAATCATTTCATTTCTATTGCATGTTCTTGCAGTGAAGACTATGAAAATATTAGAATTGTATAGGGCCTGTGCTTTATGCATTACATGTGTCAAACCTTACCACCACTGCACACTAATCACTGAACCAGATGGCTATAATGCACTGACCATTTTGGCTGACTGAAACCAATATCAACTTTTTTTCCTAATTCCTTTCCCTGCTTGACTTTCTAAATCGTTTGACTCTAACTCCTCTCTTTCTCTCTCTGCTTTCCTACCTACACATTTTCTCCTCCTCCTCCTTGTCTCCTCCTCCTCCTCTCCTCCTCTTCTCATCCTCCTCCTCCCCCTCCTTGTCTCCTCCTCCTCCTCTCCTCCTCCTCCTCCTCCGCCTCCTCGTCTCCTCCTCCTCCTCTTCTCCTCCTCCTCTGTGGCAATGCTTCCTCTTCCGTTGGTCCTGGTTCAGGTGAAGACCTGGAGAGGAACGACGGCTCGCCCCTCAAGCCCTTCTACATGTCCCCTCAACTGCACAGGATCCTCCGCAGAGAGCAGGGCTCCAAGCTCTACGCTGCCTCCTGAGAAGCCACAACACTGAACCTCTTTCCCCTGATAGGCCACAACACTGAACCTCTTTCTCCTGATAGGCCAGAACACTGAACCTCTGTCTCCTGACAGGCCAGAACACTGAACCTCTGCCTCCTGATATGCCAGAACACTGAACCTCTGTCTCCTGATAGGCCAACACACTGAACCTCTGTCTCCTGATAGGCCAGCACACTGAACCTCTGTCTCCTGATAGCCAGAATGCTGACACACTGAAGCACTGACCCATTCACCGTCTGTGTGTGGGAGTGATTGTGGTCTGGAGGATACTAGATCAGGGCCTTATGGCTGGGCTGGACTCATGAATGGAGGTGACCTGACTGGTCCAGGACTGACCAGGAAAGCCTTGGCAGGACCCAAGAGGGTGGTGAATGTGGGCGGGGTTTAGAAAGAGGCGGAGCTCTATTCAACTTCCTCCCTCTCACCGCCGCTGATACTTCTGATATTTGCCTTTTTTTCTCTGCCGTGCTTCTGTCCGTTTCTCTGCCGTGCCGACACTCTGCTGACCTCTGCCTTACTTAGAGAGCGCTGCAGCAGCCATTAGCCCCATACACTGCAAGAGGCACACACACTGCAGAAGGAGATCTGTGTTTCGGATGCAATTGGTGTACTTTTGAAGATGGTAAAAAAAAATAAACATTCTGGAGTTGTGGGGTGATGCAGGGCAAGGTCGCCCCCTTGTGACACTACTGTGTTTGTGCAATGGTTCCATGTACTGTAATGTAAGGTCATGTGTACGGTGAGGTTGCCCTTCGTCACTGATCTTGGGTCAGCTTAGCATTTTCCTCAACCATGGTTAAGGTTAGGATTGGGGGAGGGGAAGCTGATCCTAGATCTGTACCTAGGGGAAACTTCACCCCAGAGCTATTTTTAGGCGCTCTCATATGTGGGAAAATAACCCTGAGGTGACTTTTCTGTCTAGCATGATTATTTTAATGGCTGTTTAGGCTTAACATTGTTTGAAGAGGCACCTTTAGTCCACCATATTTATTGACACTGTTACAGACACTGTTACAGAGTCCAGGGCACAAGCACACTGCTCCAAACTTAACGTGCAATGCTACAGATAGATAAACTGAACACACTCCTAAATTCAGACATTTGAAGGATGTTTTGGTTTTACACTGTAAGGTGTAACACTGGATATTGGTTTTACACTGGATATACTGTAAGTGACAGTTCTAATGTAGGCTGAGGGAGGTCAAGACTTCTGAACACATTTTATGCTTATGGTGAATGATTTGAATGGACCCTGACACCTTTCAGGGATTCCGACTGCAGTTGCTAGTAAATGTGCCTAGTTCTACATGGAGAAATATTCCTATTTATTGTTGTGTGGTTTTACGATTTTATGCTGAGAACCTTTGAAATACCGTTTATAAAAGGATGTTAAAGCCATTTTTGGTATTTTTATATGGAATAGTGCAGACGTGCAGTAGTGCTGTTTTTAATACTAGGTACTGTAACACACATCTGTTTGGAGGATATTTAATGTTTTTGTACAGGATAACTCTTTTTGTATCGATGACTCCATGAACATGTGAAATCTTTTTTTGAAATAAATGTGAATGGTTTCATTATAGCACATTTTCTAGGCAATTCATATCTAATTTGTATATCTTATTTAAGGGTTGATGACATTTAAGTTGACCGTTGGTTTGGGGTATTATAGTTTTTGGGGTAGGCCTGTTGTCAAACAGTGGGTTTGAGGAAATCAAAGGTGGCTTGGTTGTGATCAAGAGGGCTTTTATGAAACAGTGATTTGAGGGTACGTATCTAACATTGGGTTTGGTATTTCAAATGGATTTTTGAAGGAATTTACAATAACAGTGAGTTTGGGGTATATGACTGTGTTTGAGAATGTTTTATATTGTTCTAATTCTATACTGTTATTTGAATATTCCCCATGTAATGTTAATGGGGCGCTGCCACTGATGCCATAGAATGTTGTAGTGTCATGTAAATGCAACATAATGCAGAAACCGCAATGGCCCAACTCTCTAAACACATGGGGGTACGCAACAGAGTTTCTGTGGTATGTGACTGGCTATGTGTTTCTGTCCCCAGTGGTGGATCTGGAGGTGAACAACGGCTCTGCAGCCAGTTCAATCTACATGAGCAGCATCCTGAGACACAACCTCAACAAGAAGACCAACAAGAGGAGGAGAAGAGAGGAGAAGAGAGGAACGGATACAGGGTGACTGGAGGAGTACGGATAGACAGAGGAGAAGAGAGGAACGGATACAGGGTGACTGGAGGAGTACGGATAGACAGAGGAGAAGAGAGGAACGGATACAGGGTGACTGGAGGAGTACGGATAGACAGAGGCAGGAAAGGTGAAGGTGATAGGGAAGACACCAGTGCATGATCAAGTAGAGATGGAGGACAATACTAATCCGGGTCCATATTGCTCCTGATGCCATTGTTATTATGCGTTTTTGGACATAATAATATGGGAATTTTCATATCTTGCCATACAGTACTTGATGTACTAACAAACCATCACCTTAAAGAGATTCTCCGGTACTTTTGTATACTTTTTAGACAGTAGTTCTGAAAGTAGCGTTCACGAGCCAAAGGTGGTCCGCAAAAGAATTGGCATATAAATGGCATATATTATCATAAATGGCATATATTATTATATTATAAAAATTGTGAACTACGTCACGTGTGCAGATTTGTGCACCACGTCATTGCTATCTCTCTGCTCTGCTGTGGGTGCATGATGAGCCTCTTGCTAACAGTCACTCATATGGCAGAGGGGCTGAAGCTCATTTGTTGAACTCCACTTGCTAGGGGGCTGGCCCACGTGGGGGAAAAGGGCGCAGCACAGCTTCCAGAAAAACTGTCAAACTAGGGATTTTGTGGATAACTGAGCATAAACAGTAATTAGGCTCATATATTATGCATGTATTCAGATTGACACATTCAGCCCAAAGCAGGAGGTTTAAAAAATACTTAGTAGTTGCCAAAGTTCCAGAGCATGTCTTTAAATGCACAATGTCATACCAATGACAACAGTATGGTTAGCATAACTGTGGCCAAATCATGCGTTTAAAGGCAACTGCAAGACATTGTTGATTTTGCCAATGTACTGTACAGCACTTACTTGAGTGAACAATGAAGTATATATTTTTATAACAATATGTTGCTCCACATATTACCCAGCAGGCACTTGTAACTATGTATGCAGTGACTCAAACCAGCCACAAGGTGGTACTAGAAATATTCAGAAAACTCCCAAGAGGTTACACCAAGTCAGCTGATTGAACGGCTGCTCTGGTTAATACTGGACATGAAATGTCCATAGTTCCCATGTATAATTATGCTCTTCAAGCTCCTTGGAGCACTAACTTTTATTTTCTCATATTGAGAAAGCTATTTGCCATACATTGTCCATTGTGCTAATTTCTCTGTCTCAACCCTCTAACGTTTCCAATTGTGAGTATGTAATAGCCCTACAATTGAAATGTTGAGTGCCCTTCTCTATAAGCATGCTGAAAGTCTGTTGTTAATTTGTTTACAAAAAAAAATCTAACAGTTTGCTAAGAGCTGGAAGCAAGCTGATAGGTCTGCTGTTAGAACCAGTAAAGACCACTCTTGGGTAGCGGAATTACTTTGGTTTCCCTCCAGGCCTGAGAACAAAGACTTTCCTCTAGGCTCAGATTGAAGATATGTGGTCCTCTGTAGCTCAGCTGGTAGAGCACGGCGCTTGTAACGCCAAGGTAGTGGGTTCGATCCCCGGGACCACCCATACACAAAAATGTATGCACGCATGACTGTAAGTCGCTTTGGATAAAAGCGTCTGCTAAATGGCTTATTATTATTATAATGTTAAATTCTAATATCCCTACCATCATATCTAAGCCAATATGACATCAATGTCGATGAAAATTCGCAAATCGACTTGGAGGTACACAACACACTCCTCACCTCTTGTCATGAGCCGTCCGGTCGTTACCGAGAACCACTCTACCGGATTTTTTGACAGGGTCGTTGGCATTTGGGTCATCAGACAATTATTCTAGACGTCGAACTAAAACGAGGCTACAGCTTCCATAAGGTGACCGTTAGACTTAGATCCATTTGGACTGAGTAAGTTTGTAGGTGCTACAGCTTGTATTAAATTCACAATTTATCGCTCTCACGTGCAGATATCTGCCCAATAAAAAAAACGGTGCTACCTTTTTGTAGCATTTCTGACAATGCTAGCATATTTTCAGACAAATCTCAAAGTTCTAAAACTGGGTCTAGCAACTCGGTTGCTGCGCAACAGTAGCAGCTAGCTAGTAGAAGGCTAGTAACTGTAGCTAGCTAGCTTACACCGGTTGGATGAGAAGCAAATGGAAGGTAGCTAGCTAGCTAGCTAGGTATATAGGTATATTTGTGTAAACTGTTGTCATCTGTGTAAACTGCTGACCTGGACACTTGCGTGTAATCAGAACACAAACAAATAAGCTAGCGAACATCCTTGGCTGCTATTATAGCCAGTTAGATACCAAACTTTGGGAAGTTTGGGAAACATCCACGCTGCTCATTTATAATACATGCACACACCAGACAGACAAGTCACCGCTATAAGATCCAGAGCAAATTCTAGCCCTTACCTTATGCATTCATTCAGTACGCTTCCTCTGTCAATGCAATTTTCTTCTTGTCAATGTGTTCCCAAAAACTTGAAGTCGCCATCCACAAGTAAAAGGTAGCAGGGGTGCGGGTTGCAACATCATAATGATCATTGCTTGCTTGCGCGACCTGTGCGCAATAAATAAAAAATGCCATGCTTGCTAACTTGGTTAGCTATCTGATAAACACGATTTGATTTTTTTTTACCAAACAAGAGGAATAAACGTTCAATCTGTATTGAGTAAATGAACAAAAACAGTTTGGAATGATGAACACGTGCTGTCATCACCAGACTGTCCATTAAAATAGAGTGTCAAGTTAATGCATGTATAATAGGGTTCGTAGCG